GAAAATCAAAACGATCCCCGAATAAAAGAACAGTAATGAAGGACGGTTAATAATGAAATAAGCTTTTTGAAAATCAATATGCAAATTAATTAAACCTGAAAGTGATATTGCATAGAAGTAAATAATATAATAATAATATTTTAGTGTGTAAATTACTATAAAGTAGAACTGGGGCTTTTTAATCTCAGAATTAGTCGGAGAATTGTGCCCTAATTTCGCATTTATTCATATAGATTCCACAATATATACTTTACAGCTATTATGTTTCTCTAACTCTTCAAATGTTGAATATATAACCAGTTCTAATTTCTATTTTCCTCTCTTTACACTTATTTTAATTTTATCTTATAAATTGTCCCCTGTTCTGTTAGCCATGATATAAAAATAATTGTTTGTACGGAAAATAAGGATCTACGTACATGAAATCGTCTTTAAATTAAGTGGCAGCAGAATTATCGTTGATCTTTTAAAAGGTAAGCTTATACATTAATTCAATACTTAAATACAGCGATCATTTTTGAGTTTTTCTGTAGTTTGATGCGTATCGCATCTACTCTTCTCTAGCTATTTTGATGGTGGCCAAACTAAGTCCTTCGCAGGAGCTAGATTAAATGTCTCCCGATAGGGCGACCTTTAACGTAGCTGCAATTTTAGAGACTAAAGGAAAATAAGTTACTCCCCTTAAACCATGAAATCAACGATAATAGAGAATATAATATTAATATATATTTTTAACCTAGCATAATCTGGCAACCCTGAAAACTAGATCTTTTGAATGTACTTTATATATAAGATGTGTGTGAAAGAGGAATGCCTTTGTTACCCACTAGTATGTGGGTGTTGATGTAGTGTTTTTTAAGCGAGTGTTTATAGTTGGTAATGATGCTATAAATGTTTTCATATTTTCTCCTTGAAGGGTTATGTTCTTTTTTTTTTTTAATTAAGCTGCTATTAGTGGAATCAAAGTTATGCTCCACGTCGTTTCCATAGAAGATGAGTTACAATGTCTTTTTGCTCTGTAGATACTTTATCTGATAAATTCCGGCATTTAAGATGGTGTTTGGTTTATTTTTTTCCTCTGATTATATTCCCGATTATCTTGGTGGTGGTGGTGTTAACGATTAAAATATTAGGGAGAGTTAATTCGTTTGTGAGATTTTTAAGTATGTTTTCGTTGTTTTTTTTTCTATATGGATTTTGTGACGTCGTTTTTTGAGGGTGACATGTTGTGGTTAGTGGAGAAGATTGAATGGTTTCTAAATATATTTCTCTTCTTCATATAGATGTAGTGGATGTTGCATGAATATTTAAGATTGTGCTGTAAATAAAATATGCAATATCCACAAACATAAATAATAAGAAATGGCCAAATGGTAACTATATTCTATCACGACAAAAAATACATGTTTGAAACAGATTAAATTTTATATACCTAATTTACAATTTCTTTGTTTGTAATTATGTGTGCAATATATATTTTAGAGAAAAAGTTCTTTGCTGTTTCGGAAATGTTCAATGTCTAAAAGATGTCTGCCTTTGATTAAAAAGGTTGAATTTAGACAAAAGATTTTTCTATAAAAGATATTGAGTGAAAAGGTTTGTGTAAATTTTTCTAATCTCTCATAAAGGAAGTTTGCTTCTTTGGCGGCACATAATTCCCGTGTGTATCTTTCGCGTGTGTGAGTCTCAAATGCGACGGAAATTCGTTTGCTGTTTCTATTTATAGTTTTCTGAACAACGAATTCGGCTCCAATGAGGCTTGGTAGCTGTTGCAAATTTTTCTGAAAAATGCTTGGGCGAATGTTGTATTTTTTTTATTTTTTAGCCAATAGGATTTCTTGAAACATTTAAATTAGGGATGAATTTGAAAAATTTTTTTTTTTTATGTCGATTGAGCCTATTTTTGCACAAATTTTGACTGTTATGGAAATTTCTCGAAGCTTATTTTTATTTAACAACCAATGAAATTCAAGAAAATATTTGAAATTGAAATGAGGGTAACTCAATAGGTATTCAGGGCTGCATATCCTCAGGGGTCTGAGGTAAAATCATATGCTTAGTCCAAATTTTATTCTCTGGTTATGGCGGGAACAGAAATTGATTTGGTTGTTTTTGTTTGTGGGTTTTCTGTAAACTTTAAAATCTAATTTATAATTGTTGCGTATTAATAAGATGTCAAGGAAAGGTAAAGAGTTTTTTGTTTCAAGTTCCTGTGTGAATTCGATGGTGGGTTCAACCTTATTGAGTTTGTAATTATGTTTAATAGGTTCGTATCTTGGGGATAAAGTAAAAGGACGCCATCAATGTATCTCAGGTTAGTAGAGCTGTTAGGTAGATGTTTAAATGGGTCGGTTTCTAAGAATTCTAGAAAGAGGCAAGCGAGAACACAACTGATAGGTGATCCCATGGGTAAACCGAATTTTTTTTTGTAGAAAATGTTATTGAACGAAAAGAAACAGTGGTTAGTGATTAATTTGAATATCTGTATAATTTTGTGGACGGATAGAGGAAGCTTTTCCCAGGATTTTTTAATATATTAAAGCATTTTGTGATGCGTATATTGGTATATAGTGATTTGATCACTAAACTTAGTTATGTTAGTCATATTTATACTTTGCATTCTTTCTAACAAGTCACCCGAGTGTTTGATGTGTGTTGTGCTAATAGTGCCTAGCAATGTAGTTAGGATTTTTGTAATAGCTCTAGGTAATTTGTGGCGTACACTATTAATTCCGGACACAATGGGCTTGATGGTATATAAAAATCCAACCAAATCCAAAATTATTGCAACATTTCGCTACATTTCATCGTCAAACATGAGGACGACATTGATAGACATTCCTTGCACACACACACACACACACACACACACTGTTATCGTCCAACATACACCTAAAGAACAGGTGTTTCTTTATATACACACTCATACACTATTACAGACTTCAACGTCCAAAATGTTCCTTACACATATTTATATTTTATCTACTGCGTTAATACACGTGACACGTATCTGACCAATGAAAACTGCTAAAAATTATAGCATGCAAGTAGTATGTTTGCCTATGCTTTTTTCATTTCTATCTTGATCTCTCGTAAATCTTTAATAAAAGTGAAACCTGTTAGCTTGAGATATGTTTACTGCTTCTTTTTTATCATACATATATATTATTGTTTTTCTACCCCTGTGTGGTCATATATTAATTCTATTTATGTTGTTAAATTTGTGATTAAGCCCGTCTGGGTGGAGTATTTTGAAGCATAGAATCCACTTGACTTCATGGTCTTCTAATTTTTTTTTTAATGTTATCTGCTGTGAACTTTTATATTTTCTCAGTTACAGTAAATTTGGCATGGGTTTTAAAATCGTGTTTTTGTAGGCGTTTTGTTGTTCTACAGGTAATAATTTTTCATGGGAAGCCGACATAATTCGATTGCGATAATTATTAATTCTTTAGGGAAAGGGCCATTCAGATTTTCCCACAGATTGTTTCTGGCATAGTGTGCATTCTAGGAGGTAAATTATGTTATGACTTCTACAGTTAGAATCGTGGTAGATTTTGAAAGTTTAGTGACTGAGCCAGTGAACGAATTGGTGTGGCTAATGTGGTTACAGCATAAGTTCCTTTTGTTGTTACATGGTTGGGAAAATCCTGTGGTTTTTGTTTTTGGTTTATTACGGATTACCTTATCCCCTGAAATATGGTTACTACCTATAACTTCCTTTAGGTTCTTAGGTCTACGTTATGCTAGAAGGCCGGGTTTCTCAAACAAATTTTTTAGTTCTGGTTTGATATGTAGTATTTCCCAGCGACGTTTGATTATCTGGAGTAGTGGAGGCAGAGTGGGGTTCAAACTGGTTACTAGAGCGATGCGTCTGAGTTTATTTTTAATCTTGTACATTAGGATGTCTTATCTAGGTGTGGAAATTGATTATTTACCTGTTCCCTGATTAGGTGTTGTTTATAGCCAAGTGTTGTGAATTGATGTTCGAGATTTTGAGTGAGTTTATTTAGTTCGTCATTGTTGGAACATACCCTTTTGAGTCTAAGCCCTTATGAATAGGGAAGGTTCTCCTTGAGATATTTAGGATGGAAAAACTTAAAGTGTAGATAGTTGTGGGTGTCAGTGATTTTAGTGTGTAGTGTCGTTTGTACTTTTCTGTTTCTCTCTATTTAAATGCGGGTGTCTAAAAATGTTACCGATCTTATGGAACTTTCGTCGTCTAACTTAATTGAGTCGGGTATTGTGTTTAGGATCATGAGGAATTGAGTAAATTTGTCATCAATGCCCGTGTATACAAAGAATATATCGTCCTGGGTATAACGTTAAACTGCATCCAACAGCAAGGCCTCTGATCAGGAGATTTTGAGGAACGTAGTAATGTCCGTGTTTTGTGGGGTGAATATAGTCTTTTTTTTTTTAATGTATCAAGTATGGAAGGTGTGTGGTTATTGTCCCCGTAAAGGGCTATATATATATATATATATATATATATACACACACACACAGACTACTAAATACTTTTCTAGACGACTCACGTTACACCTACCCGACCATAGCTCAACTTGAACTCATTTAAATACACAAGACGACTACCAAACTCCACCCGAAACATACGAGTAGAAAATAAAGTACAATAATTCCATCTACATGTAAAAAAATATAATTATTAATGGAAGCCCTAATAATCAAAAAGGAAAAGCCAACACTCAATAATTTTACGAATACTGCCACAATATACTTACAGTGTTTGGAAAATAAAACATTCCCATAACTTTAGGCACATACATAAAAAAAATCACATATTCAGTTTAAAAACATTAATAATCGCTCTTGATAATGGTTAAAAAATAGCTGAAAGTGCTCGGATATGCAGAACTTTTGGACAGTTTTTACACACTTTGTGTCCAGAAAAAGAAAACACTTGTACGAACACAAGAAAAGTAAATAGCTCAATCGCAGTATCTTGTCAGTCGTCTTTAACGAAACCTGTATAAAAGAGGAATTGCTACATAAATACTCTCTCTCTATCTATCTCTATCTCTCTCTCTATCTATCTCTCTCTCTATCTATCTCTCTCTCTATCTATCTCTCTATCTATCTCTCTCTATCTATATATATCTCTCTATCTCTATCTCTATCTCTCTATATCTCTCTATCTCTCTCTATCTCTCTATATCTCTCTATATCTCTCTCTATATCTCTCTCTCTATCTCTCTCTCTATCTCTCTCTATCTATCTATCTCTCTCTATCTATCTATCTATCTCTATCTATATCTCTCTCTCTATCTCTCTCTATCTATCTATCTATCTCTCTATATCTATCTATCTCTCTATATCTATCTATCTCTCTCTATCTATCTATCTCTCTCTATCTATCTATCTCTACATATATACACACACACACACATTACTACCACACAATGGAGAGTATTTTATGCTTCAAAACATTTTGACGTACTCACCACCAGTTGCTATTAATTTCCGACAAAGATGCACAATACAGTGGTCAATCACTCGCAACATGTCCGGTCAGACAGATCGGAGTCGACACGATTTAAACATATTACACCCACTGCTTCCATCCATTTTTCTCGATGTTCAGCAAGCATCGGCATATATTACTGGGAGTCGTTTATACGCATGGAGGAAATTCAGTGGGATTCCCCCGCTTCATATACACTTTCACGACAAATGCAATTTTGATAGAATGCTTGTGTCACAAGAAAAGCGATTATTGAATACTAGCGGGAAATATCAACTCTAATGTCATGCATACAAAATCCGCCTTTAAAGTTGTCGGCCATCATAATAAATTAGCCGGCAATACTTTCGGAGCGACTCTCGTATTAAAATCTATCTATTTGTAGAATTATTCCGGTTTTCAAACGTACAGACATATGTATATGTATGTACGCTGACTCTGACTTAGTGTACTCTTTGTATTGACTCTGTGCATATATATTGATATACTTCTGTGTTCTAGTACATACATATAGTGTTTCTTGTATAAAGACATAAACTCACAGAGGTAAGTGTGTATATATTGTAGTTTGTATGTTTAGTCATAAAACAAACTGCGTTTGAATGCGATTTGAGAAGTGAAGATCAAAGTAAAAATCATAGCCGTAAAACTCACCGACAAAGACAACAGAGCTAATCTATAAAAAATATTACATAATAAAAACTAAGAACAATTTTACTTGTGGAAATAAATAAAACAAAGCACTGAGAGCTGAAAGAACTTTAAAGAAACCAAAAAAGCGAGAAGCCAGGATCAGCCAGGATTAGATCTATGGACAAATATAAAACACGTCTGTGATTTAAGCTTTCTGTAAGCCCTAATATGAACTGACGATGTAAAAGATATTTCGAAAGTATACATATAAAGTTTCTTCTTTCAAAGGTTGAAGCAGAAGCCGAAGGTTTCATGGTGCCAAAAGATTTACATGTAGTTGTATGAATGTAATAGCTATATTCTGTTTATAAGTGACATTTGCTTTAATCGCTGACTATTGACAATCTTTTTCCTTTCTGATATCCAATTCATTTCTACAGAAAAAATGGTTTCTATCGTAATATTAGTTGCAATTCATTTTCTGGGATGGAATCAGTAGCAAACAATTTACATTTATACATACAAGACCATTCAGTCAGTAATATTTCAATGCTGTACAATGTTTTCATCGATACTTGAAGCGAGATGATGTGGTTCTATCAAAGATTGCAAAAGATACTATAGACCGAATATCTGAGAAAGTCATATAGAAAATATGAACAAAAGAACTTATACTTAAAATCAGAAAGAGAAAGGGGAAATGACTTATAAAGAGGAAAGAAGGCTTACCGAATTTAACACTCAAAATACATACTGAAAGCAGGAGAAAACTTTAATCCATCTAAAAAGGTTGTGCGAATGGACGGCATTTTTTTAATCAACACGCTTCCCAACATTAGCAGAAATAGATTTTGCTTCAGTAAAAAAAAGAAAAGAAAACACTAGCTAAAATAAGGTTTAGTAGTAAGAAAATCGGTTGTTAGCGATGTGAGAACCCGACGCTTTGCCCTGTACTGAAAATTACAGTAAGCGCTGAATACTTGTGATTATGATTAGAATTCTGGAACATAATGAGGAGAGAAGGCTTGCAAAATTTGACAACATAATGAAAAAGGGTTACATGGATATGATAAATAATCTACTATAATAATCATATGCTTGTGTAAATGTATATTAGAACAGAGACGGTGATGGATAGGAACTTTTGAAGAGCCATGATCGCCCACGTATTTAATGAACAGTGCACATAAAACAAACAAGAATTTATCCAAATCTCAAGAGGTGAAATCGTTAAATTTCTAGTTATCACAAGTTGAAATGTCTGACATGAAATCAATGATATTTTAAAGCTCGGTTTATTCCTTCAGTCCTACAGTTATGCCACAAATATTGATCAATATGAAAGGATTGTTTTTCTGGCTTTCTAGTGATAAATACCCTTACTCCAAGTCCGCCTAGTATGTGGGCTCTGTAATATTAACATGTTCTTGAGAGACACAATTTAAATTATAGATGTATCTTCCATAGGAGAAAAAAGATGCTGGTTGTGCAAGGACGTTGTCGCTTGCTGCTGTGATGATTTAAGTTCTGCTTGCCCCCGAAGTTATTGGCGATACGACAGAACCACTTATTGAGAACACTTGAATTTTGCAAATAGGATAGACTACAGGATTGGCCAGGCAATTAAGCGAAGAAATTGCAATGGATAGATAAACAGAAACCCCATCATCCGATTAAATTTCTCGAAAAGCAGATCACCACGCCACAATTGTTGATGCCGACTTCTTGGCTTAGATTAAAACAATCTGCGTCTTCAGCTCCACTCCAATAAGAGGACTATTCTTTGATTTGCAACTGATATCCACTCCAGTGACATCGGGTTAGCACAGAGGAGAGAGTATGCCTTAATGAAAGAGAAAGGTGCGCCGCAGAAGAGATTTTGAGTGGGTGGGGATCTAACGCAGCGATCTGTCAAATATTTTCAGTAAACCGAGATAGAAATAGTGTTGTTTGATTTGAAACAAACAGCAGGAGGACTTTCTAGTTGCACTTACTTTGTTTATTTTATTTTAAATGATGCGACTGGAGTGGAATGGGAAGAGAGAGACTCAGCACAAAATTTAACACAAAAATTAACAAAAAATAATTTTAAAGCAATTGCTTTTGTTGAGAAGAAAAATAAGATTTGGTTCTCAAGAATGATAATGAGAATACTATGAACGAAACCTGTGAGCAACGAGTCTGACAGAAAATAGGAACGAAATGTACGTTTATACCAAGAATTACAAAAAGAGTTGAAATTACTGGAACACATGATGATGAATAGGCGTGGAGAATTTGACATTCGCATGAAATATTGAAGGCAAGGTGTTTAGAAGAGAACACTGAATAACCCTACCTGATAAACTTGTGTAAATTGATGGCAGATCCTAGTGCCCAACATTATTTAGAGCTAAAAAGGATAGGAAGTTGTATAGAATTTTCTCTCTCTTTTTATCTATCTCTCTCTTTTTATCTATCTCTCTCTTTTTATCTCGCACTCTCTTTTTATCTCGCACTCTCTTTTTATCTCGCACTCTCTTTTTATCTCGCACTCTTTCTTCTCTCGCACTCTCTTTTTCTCTCGCACTCTTTCTTCTCTCGCACTCTTTCTTCTCTCGCACTCTTTCTTCTCTCGCACTCTTTCTTCTCTCGCACTCTTTCTTCTCTCGCACTCTTTCTTCTCTCTTTTTTTTTTTTACTTTAGTTGTTTCTCGAGCAGGGTGGAATCAGAAAACCAGCACAAAAATTTACAAAAAGTAGTTTGAAATCTTTTTTAGGAGAGTGCAACAAATGTGGTTCTTCAGGGGGGATGCTGAGAATGCATGGGATATCTGAACAACGAGGATATTTCAAGAACAATAACAACGAAATATGCATTTATACTTACAATCAGAAAATGGGGATTGAAATTTCCGGAATACATAATGACGAAAGAGAGCTTAGAAAATTTGTCACTGGGAGTTCATTTTGAGGCAAGCGGAAAGCAACAAATAACGTAGCTAAACGGATGACAGAAAAGAAAGTGAGAGGGATTCACAGTAAGGAGACAAACATTTCTTGGAATTACAGTGGTTAGAAGTTGTGGAGAAATTTTTTTCTAATTTTTTCTTCGTTGGTTTTGTACAATGTCGAGAGAGATTCGGTATAAAAAAATTAATTTAAAAGCATTTATTTCCGGGTTTTTTTCTCGTTTATTTATTTTTATCTTCTGTTTCTTTTTGTTGAATATTCTTGGAAACCCAAAATATTGCTGACAATTTCTTTGACTCTCCTTTTCAAATATTCACATGTTCTTTGCTCTGAAAATGGCATTTCAGCAACTTTAGGAATAAACGTGTTTGTTTTGTAAGTATATTTGTTGAAATTCTGTCATAGAAAAATTTGCTTAAAAACCTTAGCAATAGCATTATTTTCAGCAAACGATGGAAACAGAATCCAGATGAAGATAATTTTCTGTTTTTCTTTCCTACACGTGGTTTATTTTAGTGCAAATCTTTGAAAGATTGCAATATTATTATTTTTAGCAAAGTCCAAGATGATGAACAAGATATTTTCCTGATGGGGTTGGGTTTTATCTTTCGGATATTGCAAAATTCAAAACTTGATGTTCATTGTTTTTCCAAAGTCATTTGTTTATTTCAAATGTTCAGTAAATTTTCGTTATGCGCAGATAACACGAAAATTATGCTATGGGAAAAAATTATCTGACATTTGAATACAAGTAAAAAAAACAAAAAACGAAAACGCCCAGGCACAAAGACAGAAAACACACACACGCATGCGCGCGTACGCAGAGACAAAGCATATTACTGGTTTCCGATGCCGAGAAAAGGAAAATATGTTTATCGATGTTTACGTTTATTCTTTTGTGGAAAATTCTATGTTAATACTAGATATTCAAATCGCGTGATTCTTATCGCAAAATATAATCATAAAAATTTTGATTGCACCCTTGCATATACACAGGATATATATATATATATATATATATATATATATATAAACATACACATACGTTTACAGATTTTATGGATGTGTTGCTATTATATATATATATATATATATATATATATATATATAAACATACACACCGCATTCATATACGTATGCAGACATACATCGATACGTATCATTCAGTTTTGCGACTATAAACGTACATTTACTAAAGCATTCTGTTCATGTCAAATCCTGAGATATCTCTCATATATATATTGTCAGCCACAGGCAGAATGTCTCGCTGTATCACAGCTCATCAGTGTGGCTATGCGTTCGGTTGCCTCTTGCTAGGATCGAAACCCGACTGAATTGGTGTCAGTCGGAGATTCTACCCCCAAGCATGAATGAAGATGAATTTAAGCGTATTTTTTCTAGATAAACACAGTCACTGAGAGAACTTGATTCGATTTACCGAAGATTAAACTAATTATATATATATATATATATATATATATATATATATATATATATATATAAGAGGAGGCATATAATGGATAGCGGCTTGGATTGAGGAATCGGAGAGCCGAGTTCGAATTTCAGTCGAATCCATTACATTCACTTACGTGCTAATACCCTTGGGAAAAGTGTGAATCCTTTTCTTCTCCCTCCAGCTATCGGTATATAGCAGGACTTGACTTGGTTCTATAGCCTTGGATGGCAACTGGTCTAGGAGAAGGAAAACTCTGAATACAAAACCTGCGGAGGGTCGCTTGGGGACCTTGTGGTACTTAGTGCACCAGGTCTCTGTATTTGGCCCTTCAAAAAGTGGTCCTGCACGAAACCTTCACCACTATAATCAAATCTCATGTGCTGTTGTCGGGCTGTCGGTTTCCTAGGAACTGATCTACTTGACCCTCATACGTCGAATTCGATGGGTTAGTCGAGTATATTAGTTTAATCAATAATCCGTACCCTGACAGTTATTAAGTGAAATTTGGTATAAAATTATTAATATCCACCGATACGGAGATCCCTTTAAATATGTTTACAGTTTCTTTCTGAGGCTGATGAGCTATTGATTCACTTATGTCGATAGATTTTCTCGTTTTTCTCATTGTTGGAACTATGGTAATGTGATTCCAAAATAATGTCACCGGTCTACGTCTGTTGTAACTGACATCCATCAAACATGGCACGTGGAACTAGAACAGTCTACGCCAGTGATCGAAATAAAGGGTTCAGTTCGAAATTCCAACCACCTGAAGAAGGCCGGAGCGTACAACGGCCGAAACGTTGTGACAAATATGGCGACAAAGATGAGGACAATAGTCCGACTAATGTAAATACTGTTTCGCAGTCTGTACAAGAGTGGGAATAATGGATAGAAATGACGTTTAGTTTACATCGCTTCCTCCTCACTTCTATTTTGAATCTGCGTATTTATTCAGGGAAAGCGACCGGTTAGAAAATCTTGTGGCACCAGGTCATTTTGGTAGCCTCTGTTACACATTTGTGGGGGTCGATACCGTAGGATTCCGTTTCAATCTATCCCTTTATTTCTTTCGTCAATCAGTAATGTAATGCCTTTCTAAGACAATCTTTGATGCTCGGTACATGATTAGCCCAACTTGAAATCTTTCAATGCTGACCGATTAGGTTCTCTTGAAATCTTACTGCAACAGTTTAAAAGTGGATATAGAGAATGGTCCAAAAATAATGTAAGTTTTGGTTTTATTGTCAATATCATATTTGAATGTTTTTAAACTATTTCCACAAAAAACAATGAATAAATAAATGGTTCTCAGTGAGTGTGTATAAGTGTGAGATATGTAAAAAATATCTGCCAAAATACATTACGTTTCGACATACACATGTATGCTAATGATGAAATACATAGGTCAAGCATGAATATAAATATATTTTTATACAACATCAGGTCTTTATCAAACTCTGATATTGTCCGCATTAAATATAAAAAAAAAGAAAATCTCGAAAAATACAAGCAGGACATTGTTGATACCCACCGATATGGGGACAGACAGGTCCGCCTACGAAACTCTGGAGTCGAGATGCTGAAGTTAACATCAATCTACTAAATGACAATCTTTTACTTAAATTAATTATATGAAAGAAAAAACAACCGTTGATGGAACCAATGAACAATTTGCCAAAACCTAAATCTCTTATCCAGATAAAGTCTCAAATAAAACCATAGTGAAAAAAGAAAGAGAAAATGGTCTAATGTCAAATTTATTTCGGTAACGTAAAGTGCTCCTAGCCTATATTACCTAGAGCAAGCAAAAAACATTTTACAACGTAAAATCCTATGAATGGGTGGCACTTGTCGTAACCCGAGTTTCACGCTCATGCGATCTTTAGACAACTTGAACGGCATATACACCCTTGTGCAAAGTAATTGAAAGGACTGTTGTAGTTTCATTTCTTTCGCTATACTGTCAGGTTTAGATCCACTGGATTGAAAGGTTGTAATCGATTTCTATTTTTTCTCAGAGTAGGTCATTTGCAGTGGTGTGCAGTAATATGAATCTATTTTCGGGGTGTATGATAAAATTTGATTGGCTTTGAAAACTATTGCGTCATCCGTGATATCACCAGATTTTTATCACGCCCAGACACTATTCTCTCGACTGTTAATTAGTTGTCCTACGGCCTTTGTCTGCGAGGGACGTTACTCCAAGGAAGCATACGAAAATTGTAACGCTGCACGAATACTGGCAAGCCTTACCAGTGAGCAAATCAAAGTACTCTAGACTGGTGCGGAAACTTTCCTGATTTAAATCCAATCGAGAATCTGTGGTCGATCTGTAACGAACGACTTCGTGGAGTGGACATACGAAGTACTAACATGTGCACTGTCATGGTTCAAAAATACGAAAATGTAAATAATAACGGAATTATTCGTTTTGTTCCAATTAATTTGCATATATATATATATATATATATATATATATATATATATATATATATATATATATAGTGTATCACAAAAGTGAGTACACCCCTCACATTTCTTAAAATATTTAAGTATATCTCTTCATGGGACAACAGTGACAAAATGACACTTTGACACAATGAAAAGTAGTCTGTCTGCAGCATATATAACAGTTAATTTATTTTTCCCTCAAAATATAGCCATTAAAAGCTAAATCCCTGGCAGCAAAAGTGAGTACACCCCTAAAGGAAAAGTTGTCAATATTAACATACAACATGTCAACTGTCAATATTTTGTGTGGCCACCATCAGTATCTAAAACTGCCTTTACTCTCCTGGGCATGGAGTTTACCAGAGCTTCACAGGTAGTCACTGAAATGCTCTTCCACTCCTCAATGACGACGTCGCGGAGCTGGCGGATATTTGAGACTCTGCGCACCTCCACCTTCTGCTCGAGGATGGCCCAAAGATGTTCTATTGGTTTCAATCACCTTTACCCTCAGCCTCTTCAGTAAAGCAGTGGTTGTCTTGGATGTGTATTTGGGGTCATTGTCATGCTGGAACACTGCTCTGCGACCCAGTTTCTGGAGGGAGAGGATCATGCTCTGCTGCAGTATTTCACAGTACATGTTGAAGTTCATGTTTCCCTCAATGAAATGTAACTCTCCAATACCTGCAGCACTCATGCAACCCCAGACCATGACATTCCCACCACCATGCTTGACTGTAGGCATGACACACTTATCTTTGTACTCCTCACCTGGTCGCCGCCACACATGCTTAAGGCCATCAGAACCAAACAAATTAAATTTTGTCTCATCAGACCATAGGACATGGTTCCAGTAATCTATGGGCTTTGTTGATATGTCTTC